CCCCAAAACCCCAAAACCCCAAAACCCCAACAGATTAGAATCTTAGCAATATTTGTACAAGAAGTTTTAATTAATAATCTTGATGAAATTTCAGAGTTAAAATCTCATTTAAATTAGTGTTTTTATTTTAAAAATCTTAGTATATGATAGAAATATTCTTGATTCATAAATGATTAATTGAAATTTCACCTTAAAATCAGTCTAAACTATCAATGTCTATAGAATACCCACCAATCTCTTGAAATTTCAGATCATAATTATCTACAACAGAAGTGAGAGTTTTAGAATCATTAGATCCAGTACTGCTGTGATGGCTAATGTAACTATCGCAATAAGTACTTTCACTATGTGGGCTATTCAATTTGTTACATTAGGAATCATCAGCTGTTTATTCCGAAGAAGAATTGTCATTCTTTGCACCTTTGGATGAAATTTCTTGTTACTTATTAAATTGTTCAAATCTTTAAATTGAAACTTCCTCTTTTATATCATTTTCTGAGTTTATTTGAATTATTTGAACTGCTGATTTCTACTCCTCTTTATTTTGTTTTAAGCATTGTTCATGATAGTCAGGTATTATATGAATGGGGGATTCCTAAATTTGAACTTCATATTAATTATCACTTTAGTTTGATTCTAATTATTCGCTATCAGAAGATTTGTTATTACTAAATACTAGTTCAAAATCACTCTCAAAATTATGATCTTAAATATTCTCTTTTTTTGTTAATTTTGGAGAAGCATGTTTATCATTAAATTTTCCCTCATTAAATTCGGTTTAAATTTATTTGGCTTAATCATTGCCATCTTATTCAATTTAAGTTTCATAGAACTCTGGGCTCGCTTTTTATGATATGTCTTAAGATACATCAGGAATTATCTATTCATGAAATTATTCTTGTTAGGATGGATAGTCATTTGAGAGCTGGATTTCTTGTTCCAAACGAAATTGGTTGTTTCCAAAATCTTAAATATTATTATTATTTAACTGATCTTGACATAGCATTTCAATTAAAATTACTTTATCATAAATTTGCAAATTATTATGGTCTTGAGAAACTTCAATTATTTCTTGGAGCTTACCAAGATTATTAAGACTTAATTCAATCTTTGATTTATTCTAAAATATCTCAAGATAATGGTCCTTTACATGAGCAAAAAAATCTAAGAATTAATCCTATTCACTTATCTTATCCTTAATTTGATTCTAATTTGTGGTATTTTATGCTATTGAATAATTGCAAATATTGGATTAAATTGAGAAAGTATTTTGACTTTCAAATTATATTGTGGAAGAATCCTTTATGTTTTATAATTATATTTCTTTTTTTTAATCTTCTTTATTACCATTTATTGTAAATTTATTTACTTAGCATTATATTAACAGCTCATTTTATGTCAGATTATTAGAAATAACAGGATTTAATTATTTAAATTTATTTTATTTTTCTGAGGGGTTACATTCTAAAGATAATTAGAGGTTTTATTAGTTTAATTTATTTTTAGGACTTTATTACTAATTTATTTTGACTGATTAAATGCTTAAATCATTATTTATCAGAGATTTAGGTTTAATATTTTACAATTCTTTAGATTGAATTGTTAGTGAAGACTTTTCTGCTCTAAGTTGAAGGGTTGAATTATCTTATGTGACATTTTAATCAGATTTTTATTAAATTAATCCAAGTGAGTAACTAATAGTATTACTATCAATTTGGGTTTAATTTTTCTTGATAGTTTATGAATTAGGTATCTAAATTGAGTTTATTTTTTCGCTAGGTAGACCAATTGCTAAAGTGTTTTAAGTTAATTCTTTAGTGAGCTTTTATATTTCGTTATTAATTACCAAACACTAATTAGCTATATTTATCTCCAAATCATGCTGCTAATTTTATTTATCAAAACTTCTATCAATAAAAGTTGGTTTTAAGTTCTTATAATCAGAAATAGGCTGAATTTATGAGAAATCAATATCTTTAATCTCTAATAGTTTTTCGTTTTATAATATTTAAGAGGATTTATTCACTGTAAGACATTAATCTAATTGTTTTATTTAATTCCTTTTGTGCAATTTGATTTTTAAAGCTGCGAGGTCAAAGTTTTAGTTAAGAAAAGACTTATTTATATTTTATGTCAATTTAAGACTTTGAGTCGAACTATATTTACTATTTAGTGATTTCTTATGCTGAATATCAAATTTTTTAATCACATTGATGCTGAGAGGTTTTTTAATTTAAGCGAGATTTATTTAATTTATTTCGCTTTTGAAGGTGTTTTTCTTTGATTGTTTACTTTTGTGAATCAAAATTTATTTCAATGAAAATTGAAGATTATGCTTAAGATTTTTAAGTTTGCAATTCTATTTTGTTATTATAGATTTTTATTATATGGGCTTCCTCGATACTTTTTTCGAGAGAGTATTAGAGTTTCTAACTTCTAATTTCCTGCCAGATTATTAAATATTTATTTATCCTACAAAATTTTAATGAAGCTGAGAAGCCTACTTGAGGTATTGATCATTGTTAAGAGTATATTGAAAATGAGAAATCTGGGGAGCTTTAGATTTACGATTGTTTTTGAAAGAGGCTTGAGATTTCAGCTCACTTTTGAAGATCTATAAAGATTATTAATCCTGTATTTCTTCTATCTAGCCCAACATTTCTTTAATGAAATCATAGCTAATATCAAAATCTTGAAACTATTTATCTTGCATTGGATTTAGGTAGTACTTTAGTATATAGTAAAGTATCTTACATGGGAAGTTACTAAGATGACTTGCTCTAAGAGACTACTTTAATTAATAGCATATTGCGAATTACTCTTAAACTGAGGCGTTTCTCTCTATAGATTAGAGAACTTAGACTTTCATTGGGAAAGAATCATCCCAAAGCCAAATCAATGAGTAGATTACAGAAATTAAGTCATCAGCTCTCACAACTTCAATACATCTATGAGAATTTAATGAAGCTGTGTAAGGTGTACCCATTATAGAACATTGAGTCTTCAACGGTAAATGAGACGTTTCACCAAACTCATTCTTCACTAAATATTCTTTTGAAGCGCCTAAATCTATAAGATAGACCTAATTGTTATTAATCATGAAATTTTCCAATTTGACATCTCTGTGCACAATGCCTATTGCATGCAAATTTTCAAGCTGTTATATCATCTAGACTGCCAAATTGCTTTTTGATAGATACTATTAACCATCGAAAATGCTTTGTGATAGGAAATCTAGAATAATGTAGTTGAAGGTAATAGATGAATTATTCTAGGCTCTGATGGAACCGTCAAGTATTATCTTGGGAGCTTTGATTTTTAGATTTTCATCTTAGATTTTTTGATTTTCAGCATCTATCATTTTGAGTCTTTGTTTCTCCTGAATCATCTAAGTATTGCTATACTGAGATTCAAACTTAACAGCGAACGATGCTCCATCTTTATTGTATTTACAGACAACTCCATACGTCCCATTACCAAGAATGCATTCATATTAATACCCTCTTAAAGTTTTGGGGAAATCGCTTTCTTTAAATTATGAGATACTCATTTTGATCAATTTGTTGCTCTATATTTAAAATAAGCGCTTAAATTAATATTAATTTCTTTAATTCAAATTTTTCTACTAATAAGTATTCTAGGGGTTTTGGGGTTTTGGGGTTTTGGGGTTTTGGGG